AAAAGATATGGGTGGAGCTAGAAGGGATATGCTCAGTGAAATAATTTGGAAGGAAAATGAAAAATATCAGATGGCTTCATTTATAGGAGGGATATAGGGGATCCAAATAAGATATAGAGGACAAAACAAAACAAAAACAAACAGACAATCATAGACTAGAGACATCCCTGCAGGGCAGGGGGAAGGATCTGAAGGAGGGAGAACAGAACACAGGGGCCTGTGGTGATGGTGCCCTGGCAAGTGGGGGAGAAAATTCTCTGGGGTCTACACCTGAGAGGAGGAAGTAAACACTGTATTAAAATGAACAATGATGTACATATACATAAATTAAAATAAATAGTAAAAAGCAATGACATTACATTGTCTCAAAAAAAAACAAAACAAAAAACAAGAGGTGTGTTCTTCATTCTGAAACTCAACATGTTAATTACATTTTGTGCATGCTTACCACGAAAAGGTGACATATATCTATTTCATATACATAGGTGGTACTAAACAGATATTGTTAACTATGATTATAAAGATGTAGTTGTCTAAGGGGATGGACAGAATACATATATTGGGGTTGTTTCCAGTCGCATAATATTGAAACCAATGCTACAACAAAAACCTTGAACATATTTGCATTTGCAGATAAATTGGGTTGTATCCACACAATAGAATATCATGCCACTGTAAATAAGAATGAGGAAGCACTCTATGCAGAAAGAGATCTTTAATGTAGAAAGATCTCCAACAGTAGTCTATTTTTGTCTAAAAAGAGAAGGGGTTATTAAAAAAAAACCTATAGTCACAATTGTTCACATTTGCATAAAGAAATTCTAGAAGATACTCAAGAACCCAAGAACAATGGGTGCCTATAATGGGAGCAATTAGAGTAGCAACTGATGGCAACAGGAATACAGAAAAGATATTTCACAATATGCCTTTTCATATTCTTTAGCTTTCTACCCATGAAAATCTATTTTTTAAACAAATACTAATACAGTACTTAACGATGTACCAGGCACTATTGCAAGCCATTTAAAATTAGTAACACATTAATTATTTATTAACATAAATTCTTATTCAAAATTCAATTTAAAATAAGTGTCTCAGTAGTGTCATAATTGTATTGTGGTTATGCAGAAAAATATCTTTGATCTTAGGAGACAATATGAGGATTTAGAGAGAGTTGTTGGGGGGAAAGGATATCCTGAATGAACTCCACTTCCACTGGTTTTATGGACACCCCTCTCACCCAGACCAAAGAGAGCCAATTAACCAAGGACTACAAATCCCGTAATGTCATCACCTTCCAAGGGAAGATGCTAGGACCTAGGAGGGGTTAAGTAGCCAGGTATATAACCAGACAGGTGGGGCTTGGGGTTCCTTTTTTTTGCCAGCTCTCAGCAAGCTGTGGGGTCCCACCTCAGCAAAACTGGTATGATACATTCACCAATTTATCTCTCTTTGTCCCTGCATTACTCTTTTCTTCTTTTCTTTTTTTTAAACCCTTTGCTAACATTTTTGTGTGTGCCTGCAGTTAAGGCTCATTATAAGTCCCTTTTAAGTGTGAGGGTGAGGCCCCACAGTCAGGTCACCCATTTCACATTCGGAGTGCCCTGTAACAGAATTAGCATGTGTGCAACTTTACCTCAACTGGTTAAACAAAGACAAATATCTGTATTCTGTATCTCAGAAAGAGAGAAAAAAAGATAAAACAAAGGTGGCTAAAAATAAAAGTAAATTCATGTGAAGGGTGTACGAGCAGTCATTGATTTATTCGTGTAGGGAGGAGGAAGTATCTCAGAAAAGTCCTTAAAACAGTCTGTTTTGTTTCTAAACCCTTTGGACTGATTTTCAAGACTCTTGGAATATATCTCATTTAATCTTGTCTAGCTTTCTTACTCTTGAACTTTATGCTCTAAACTTTATCACCATTTGTCCAGATCTTACTTTTAAATCATATCTCAAAAATTACTTTCTGTAAGATGCCTTTTTGGAGTCTTCCAAAATAATGTAATTTCTCACTACTTTGAACATCTTTATAACACTTCTAGGTCTCTAATATACATCATATTCTACATTTGTGTTAATCATTGCATATTTTTATTTTGTAAAACAACAGATCATCTGTATAAAGTACATTAATATACTTGCCTATTGAATACACACTATAACAATTATAGACTATAACGAGGTACTCCCCAAGAACTTGAAAGAAGTATTTTCGGTGAGCTAAGAGGCAAGATCTATTCTATATAATGGCAGTGGGTGGGATGGGGAGTCCCTGAAAGGGGGAAGACTACCAGCTCTTCTTGCATATGCAGCTCTCTCTGCCTGCAATTCCCACCCTATCTCGACACCCCCAGCCCTCTTTGCCCATTCAGGTCCCAGTCCAGGGTTACATCCTAGGAAAACCTTCTCGAAACCCTCTGCTATGTCAGAGCTTCCTTTATAACACTTGGATCTCTTCTCACACTTACCCCATTCTCTTTAATAGAGGCAGGTATGTGTGATTGACCTCCTTTACCGGTGAAATACTACAAGGGGAAGGGCTGTTAATATTTTTGTTCCCTATTGTCACTCTAGTGTTTAGAACAGTGCCTAGAATATAACAATAGTAGGCCCTAGTTTACTCTGTATTTTTTTAACGAATGAATTGAAAAAAAGAAAAAAAGTGTGGCCAACTAGGGGAGACAGGGAGAACTGGTCTTAGAATGAAAACAAAGAGAGAAAATAAAAAATGAAACCCTTTCAAAAGGAGAAAGAACTGGATTCTATTGACTTCTACAATTATATATTCCATTTATACCATTTACACGCATACATCTGCACATTTAATTTTGCTCTCCTCTGTCAACTATTACATGTTAGAGGTGGACAGCAGTCCTTTTTACTTTTACTCCTGTTTTCCCAATATTTTCTAATTTCCTAGACGACAGCTCTGGGCTTCCCAAGATCCCACCCCCTCAACTTTTCTAAGAAAAAGTGGCTCTAAGTTCCCCGTATAAAAAATTTTGGGTTTTCCCCCCAAATGTTCGCATATGTAGATTTCCCCACAGTCACAGATAAATTTTGGTGTCAGCGGGTCACTTTCCAGCCAATAGCGTTGTGGTTTCTGTTTTCAGTTTGTATAGCACCCTGAAACAGAATCCACTGAGAGAAGAAGGGCACCTTCTCTCCCAGTGCAATTTCACTTACGCAGCGCTCGGTCTTTTTTTGTTTAGTTTCTCGTACCCAGTGATCGCAGTTACTTTACACAGACCCCGCCCCCCAGGACGCGCGGAGCAGCCCAGCCCCTCCGAGGCTGGAAAAGCGCGCCGGTTGTTCTGGCAACAGAGGTCACGTGGACAAGCAGTGGCCAATGGGGAGCGCGCACGGCGCGCCGGGAAAAGGCAGCTCTCGGGCGCTGACCCGGGCGCGCGACACCTAGAGGCGGGCGGCCGGGTACTCGCCAGAAGCTGCCGGGCGCCTCCTGTTAACCTAATTTTGGCGTCCCGGACACCTTAATGACTGCACCAAGTCCCTCTCACAAGCCCCTGTTAGGCTGCGCTCCCCTATTTCTGTGATCTAAGGGGAGAAACACGCTGCAGCCTCCTGGGCCAGGATAAGGGTGGGAAGGAAATGAGAGGCTGTGTAAGTTGCCACCTCCACCTCCAAATTTGGGGAGTTAAGGTATAGCTCCTTAACTCTTCCCCCTGCTTTTGAGGTGACCTTGTAATTAGAAAAGCTTTTTGAGTAAACGTGCCAGTCGGCCACAGGTCACATCAGATGATAAGCCATCGAGTTCACAATCTCAAGTTAGTATAGCGAATGTGAAAACACTGGGAGAAGTTTACAATAAAATGTTAAGTTCTAGGATAATGGTGATGTTTGCACAACTTTGTGAATATATTAGAAATCATTGAACTGTGGGGTCTTCCTGGTGGCCTAGGGGCTGAGTCTCAGCGCTATCACTGCTGGGGTCTGAGTTCCATCCTCGGCCAGGGAGCTGACCCACATGGCACAGCAGACCTCTCCTGTCTCACCCGCTGCTCCCCTCAGCAGTGTATTTCAGTAGATCTGCCTGTTCTGTTCTCCGCTCTGTTTCTGGTGAATCTGCTCATCTCCCACCCCCACCTCTGGACTACACCCCAGTTGTTCTATGCATAAATAAATCTTAAAAACAAAATACTGGATTGTATACCTTCAAAAGTTGGACTTTATGTTGCATGAATTGCATTATAATTTTAAAAACAATATGTTTTAGAAAGCATTCAATAACAATTTGAGACTTTGAGAAATAACTGACACCTGCCATGTGAAAATTCAGAATTTTAGTCAACTGAGTTATTTCTAGAATATGGATACTGTACTTGGTATAGTGGCAAGAGACTATCAGGTTGCTCAATTTTCTACTTCTCACATAATTCCTGTAAAGTTGGAATGTAATTTGAGAATCGTTTTAGTAATTTCTTTCAAGTACCTAGCAGTTTTCATATGTCCAGAGCCCTATAAATTTTAACCTGACCCTAATGCTCTTCAGAACACAAGATTTTAAGTTTCCAACATTTTGAGAATTCTAGGATTCATACATTTTTGCAAAGTAAAATTTCAAGTTTCTCTTTTCTTCATGCTTTTTCCTATAGTAGCAAAACCATGAAAGAACCTAAACTAAAATTTCCCTCTCTTAACAATTGGGATATTATCAGGTCAAGTATAAAGACACATTTTTATTAAAAGATAAATCTGATCTATTCAGCTAGTATACCAGATAAATCCTAAGAAATGGGAGTGATTCTAAATTGGGATCCTCTTGGTAAATTGTCACATCAGTGATTCCGGGCTAATAGCAACTAAGAGATTTAATACCATGAAGCAGCATCAGTTTTAGATTTTTACCACTTGTAAACTCTGATGAACAGTTTTACCACTATCTTATGTCCTCAACTGTGTACCACAATTTTATGTCCTCAATGCCAAGAAAAATACCTGCTAAGCAAAAAATTTGCCTTATAATAGAAAGAATATCTTACCTGGGTCTGTTGACATGGCTGAAACTGCCGGGGAGCTGACAAGTCGGGTCATGTATGACTTCTGAAAACTGTGTTGCACCCACAGCGATCTGCAACAATTTGTTACTTTCAGAAAGGGATTCAGAACTTCTTTAGGCTCGCAAACAATGGCATCATGCTTTTTTTTCATGGTTTTTCCCTGTAGGAAAAAAAAAATTTTTTTTTCAATGGAATAACTCCCATTTCTTAGGATTTATTTGGTAGACTAGCTGAATTGATGTTCTGATATAAGCTGCCTTTATTCCATAAATGAAATGGTTGTGGATTTGGGTGGAAGATAGAACAGACTCATCTCTGAGGTCTTTACCAATTTAGATAAACATATATCTGTGTTACTGGGTCTTTGTAGATGTCTCCATCCCCACATCTTCATCTCCAGCAGTTTCTCTTCTTCTTTTCAATAGTCACATTTCATCAAGGGAGTGGTCTAAACTGGTACACGTAGATAAAGAGGTACAATATAGTATTGCCAAAAGAAAAATAGAGCAAAAATTCAGAGGGGGGAGGATGTAAGATGGAGTATCTTCTTTGTCCCACTTCTTATTGTGTGTGTGTTTCCTCCCCAGAATGACTCATTCTCTTTAATCCTCCACATGTAGTCAGTCAATCTTTACAGATACCAGTGAAAACTATTCCCAGCTTCCCCTTTTTTTTCTACTATAGTAAGAGCATCAAACCAATAAGCTGAAAAATCAAATAAAGAATTTCTATCTACCTGTGCACTTTATTCTCTTGACTTAAAGGCTAGCCACAGGGTTTGACTTTCTTTTTTATCTTATAAGTCTAATAGTAGAAGGGGAATGAATGAATGAATAAAATAAATCACACCATAAAGAACAATTGAAAAGGGAAACAGGGACTTCAGGGCCTTAAATCAGTGTTGTCTAACAGTAATACATGAACCACAGATATCATTTTAGTTTTTCTAGTAGCTATGCTTAAAAAAAAAATTTACAATTGGAAAAACATGGAAGCAGCCCAAATGCCCAAAAGTAGATGACTGGATAAAAAAGATGTGGTACATATATACAATGGAATATTACTCAGCAACCAAAAAAGAGAAACACATGTCTTTTGCAGCAACTTGGATGGAGCTGGAAAAGATCATGCTTAGTGAGATAAGCCAGAAAGAGAAAGAAAAATACCGGATGGTTTCACTCATAGCAGGAGTATAATGGACCAGGCGAGAAAATAACAAAAATAATGAACAACCATATACCAGAGACATACTGTGGGGGCGGAGTGGAGAATGGGATCAAAAACGGGGGGCGGGGGGGTTTAGGGAGGGAAATGCATGGGACTAGGGTGGTGGCACAGGGGTGATCTGGTGATGGGAAACCCGCGGGGATTACAATCGAGATGGAAAAAAAAATGTGCCAAATGATGTAAAAATAAACTTTGTAATAAAAAAAAATTAAAACAAAAAAAAACAGTTAAAATTAATGATATATTTTATTTAACCTATGACATCCCAAAATAAACTCCTCAAATGTTATCATTTCAACAGGTAATCAATGTAAACAATTATTAATGAAACATTTTACAGTCTCATTTAATAGTAAGCTTCAAAATTTAGGGTGCATTTATGTAACAAGATGGTCCCCAAGAAAGGGGAGGTTCCAGGTTCCCTGCACAACGTAGGGAGAAGAATCTGGAGAGGAGACTGAAGAGGAAGGAAGCAGAATGGAGAGCCAGGAGGAAACCTGAGGGAGATACATGGAACAGCGACATGTGAGGAAGCGGCTCTTGCTTCTTGGCCCTGGACGGGGTGAAACAGATGTGGGTGAGAGACCAGTGGTGAGGTTGACCATGGCAGCATTTATCTTGATTTAGATTGTGCTCTTTTCCTCCCAGACTTGTCTGGCCATTTCTGACCCTTTTCCATGGGTCCTGGCCAGAAGATGCTTTAGGCTTGTGGCAGCTTTCAGGCCTTGCTTTGAGCCAACTCCTTTTGGGTAGACTACCCACAAGGGGATGGGTAACTTTGGGTGTTTGATTTAGAATCTATATTCTTTGTCTTTTCTGTTTGAACATTAATTGTATTAAAGTTCCTTTCCATTAAAGGTCTTATATGTTTTGTTTTGCGGTGGATGGCAGAACCCATTTAGAGAAGGCAGGTTTGTGGGTTTAGGGGTGCCCCTCTCCCTGTCCTGTAACATTTACACTTAAAAACAACTCAATTCCAACTAATTTTCTGCTGGGTGCTCAGTCACTACATGTGGCTAATGCTATCCCATTGAGCCCTAAGTACAGTGAAGAAAAAACATGGATGGAGCTAGAAGGGATTATGCTCATTGAAGTAAACCAGAAGGAAAATGAAAAATATCACATGGTTTCACTTATAGGAGGAATATAGGGAAATCAAATAAGGAGTCAGGGGGAAAAAATAACAATAAAAAAACACAACAAACAAAAATAGACTATAAATCAGAGGCACTCTGCAGGGGGTGGGGAGGGAGAGGAATCAAAACCAGGGCAGGAAGAGCAGGTACACAGGTGAATTGGTGGTGGGAACTCTATGGGGACTATGCCTGAAGAAAGAAAGCAAACATAAAAATGAACAATAATGTAAAATACATAAATAAATAAATATTTTTAAAGAAGAAGAAACAAGACCTGAAATGAAATGACTTTGAGAGCAAGTCAGTAAGTAACTATCTCAGCTCTATGAATGGAGGTGGAGAAATGGAGACCATATTTGGAAAAATAGCAGGAATCTATCATGATGCTTGAAATTTCCACTTCTCAGTGACATGTAATTCTATTTAAAGATTGAATAGTAATTCTATCTAAGGAAATAGAATTCTAACTGGTCATTTTTTCCAAATGTAACATGTTTTCCAGTGTAGCATTCTACTTCAAACTTTCAAGTCCTGTAATTTGGGCCAGATTAGGAGAGAGGGTTTATAAAGGGTTGTGAGTTCCTGAGCATTAATGGTGCCTTGGGCAGCCTGACATTTTAATTATACTCATCAGGCATGTTCTTATTTTGACTTCTCAAGGAAATTTTCCATTGCGAAAAGGACCTGCTCTCCAGCTAATGCAGGAGAACCAGATCAACCCTGGATATAATTATTAAATTACCAAAGTTGATAGTCAAGATGCATTTGCCTGGTGAGGCTCTTATTTGCAAGAGCCAGTTGGCAGGCTTACCATTAGTCCTATGTAAAACTGTCATTTTGTACTAGTTTTTCACATGGCATTACTGGATAACTGAGAATGAAACATCTTTTAAAATAAATGACAAAGAATGTTGGACTTGATTTTACCCAAATAGATTTTTATTGTCATTTCTTCCAAGTAATTCTGCATGTGTTACTTTTTATCTAAAATTTATTTTTACATATACAGAAGAAAAATATGTATGCTCTTCTATATAGTTATATATAACTGGACATTTACCTTTAAGAAATGGATTTCCTACTGAAATCCAGGAAATCTCAGGATTCACAAAAGCAAGAAAGTGGGTTAGCACATGGAAGTCTACCTAGGCAACTATTGAACTGACATGTAGTGTCTATTTAATAATCACTAGTTTATGTTACATACTTTGTCTTATTTCAATATAGAGAGGTAAATGACAGTGTTTACTTATATTATTGTTTATCTGCTTTGGCAGTTCTAATTTAAAAGTTTAAGTGCATTATAGATATTGTTATCATTTCTTGCAACAATTCATCCATCCATGGACTCTTATCTTGCTGTCTGTGATTGGTAGACTCATAATGCTGTTCACATCCTAATCCCCGGAACTCATGAATATTTCACTTTATGGGGCAAAATGGATGTTGCCGGTGCAATTAATTTAAAGTTGTTGTGAAGTGGCGATTACCCTGAGTTATCTAGACCAACCTACTCAAATGGCCACTTATAAGCAATAAACAGGAGAGTGAGAGCCAGAGACAGTAGCATTACAATGGAAGCAGAGATGGGAGTGATATGAGAAAGGGTCCATGAGCCAAGAGACACAGGCTTCTAAAAAGCTGAAAAAGACAAAAAAGCCTTAGTCTCCAGAAGGAATGCAGTCCTGCCAGTTCATTTTAGACTTCTGATCCCCAAAGCTGTCAAATAATAAATGTGTGTTGTTTTAGGCTGTATTTGTTTTAACACAATAGGAAACATATGCATTAATATTCATCTGAGTGTATGTTATGTTTTTGTCAGTATAATTTTAAATGTGTTCTCTTAACATAAGTTTGGAAATAGAAAAGAATCCCTATTATGGTACAGTGTTCCTATAATAATACCTAATTGTTGAATTTTAAGTAACTATCTTTTTAGCAAGCAATATATGTTTGATCAACAATGGGAAAAAATTAATCCCCTGCTGAATGCCAGGCAGTACACTAGCTCTTGGAAATATGACATTCAACAAGACAGAAAGGGTGTCTTCCCTTTAGAGGTGACAGCCTATCAGTGGAATCAAGCACATTGGTTTAGGGTCATGATAGGTTTCACTAGAACATATCATGGGGAATGAAACTAACCTAGTCTGGGTGGTCTGGAAGGACTCAGTTAGGAATGACTGATAAGCTGAGAACTAAATGCTGACTTGAAATTAGCCAGAAAGGAAAATGAAGGAGGAAAAAAAAAATTAAATTCTCCAAGAGCTGGAACACTAAATGCAAAAACCCAAAGGCAGTAAGGAGTTGAAGGCATTTGGAGAACTAAAAATAAAAATTGAAGACTTTCTGATTCAAGATAGCTGATATCATTCCCCCTACTCCCTGTAGCCTGTATATCTCTCAAAAATAACAAGGAAGGAAAGGAAGACCAGAAACACAGGTCTTACCTTATTGAACTGGGAGTCACCCCAAACCACAAGATATAAAAATAGATGGAGGACACTGCAGGCCCAAGGAAGGTCAGCTGTTATTGCTGACAGAGCAGAAGCAAGACAGGTCACCTTAGGGAACTCTGGAAAGACTCAGGAATCAGAAGCTGGTGAAATGCAGAGGGAAGTTAAAGAAGAAGGATCGTGCTGAAAAGCCAGGTTTGCTTGAAATCTGTTTAATAAGTAATCAGATTCTCAGCTCCCCATATTGATCAGGGTTTGGGGGGCAGGCCTGGAGAGCAGGCAAGCTCTTCTTTGCTTCTTGTCTTTAGTGAAGAAAGATTTCAACATCAAGA